AATTTGTCTCTCTTTCTTCGAGGGGAAAAAAATCAAACTACAACGAAACAAATTCGCGAAATAATTTTATTAAATATAAGAAAAATCTCTGCAGATTTTCCTCGCAGTGGTATCATCGCGACCCAGCGACTTCACCACAGAGGAAGCTGCAAGCGACGTAGTCCAGGATCAAAAAGGATCCAAGATAATCGAAGAGAAAGCTGTGGCAGATCCCGTGAAAACAAAACGTCACATACACGAAGATCTGAGAAGAATTAACGACAAGATCATAAGCAACGCGATAACCTTAGGAATAACCAAATTCGAAACCATCAAAACCATCAAACTTGCCATCTTGAATCTGTTGTCTACCAAAATCGAACTATTGATGAACGAAATTCAAAATGCTGATGTTCTTGATTTGCTTGACTCTCCTACCGTCAAATTCTTCGTGTCGATACTGGAGAAATTATCTACGAAGGGTAGTGATGATTCTCTGCTTCCTGAATCGCGACAAGGGTCGAGTAACAATTTTGATTCGCTTCGTGAAAGTGTGAAAACTGACGAAAATTCAACATCAATAGAGGTGTTGTTCTAAGGACATTCGTCAATATACATCGAAAAATCTTCTATTTAGAAGAAATTTTGAACGTATTATTAAATAAATGTCTACGTGAATCATTCATTCAATGACAAGTATTATATTTCGTGTGTTTTATATTCTTGAATATTATATCTGCATTCTTAGTCTAAGTCTAACTTATTTTACTTTAGATAATTTATACGGTTATTAGTCCTATTCTTGTAGAGGAAAGTGTGAAAGAATAATTTTTCATGTGAGAGATTTTTTTTTTTAATCTGGTGTCGAAGACTCTTAAAGCAGGATTAATGATCTGTTCGTTGAAAATCTGGAACTTTTGTGCCATGTTAAATACTCAGAAAAGTGATGTTCGACGTTTGTAAGAACTTCAGAAATATGAACATTCTGATCAAATGAATTTAAGAAGTATGAAGGAGTAATTGGGAAGAAAAATAAGAAGGGAGAAAGTGACTATTTTGCGAAAAAGAAATTGTATTTTCCTCGAATGTATAAAAAATTCATTTACAAACTTAAATGCTAACAAGGAATGCAGCATAGAATACAGTAAAAAATATACAAAATACAAAATACAAAGGTAGAAAAAGAAAATTGTTATAAGAACGATCAGTCTTCGGGGATTTTCAGTTTGCTCTGTCCTTTCAAAAAATTTGGTGTATCGTTATTACTTGACGTGGACTCGTTACGTGTGTTCATTAACTGCCGAGATCTTTCATAGTCGTTTTTTCCATAGTAAATGTCTTCTAGAACGAACGCCGTAGTCATAAGAACGGAGACTCCAGCGAAGATCACCCACATAATCAGTTCAAGCGTAACCTGAGCAAATTGTAAAAGAACTTCATTTGATCATTATATTCTTCGAATCGACGAACGGTGATAAATGTAAATTAAGATTCTGAAAATTTAAATCTAAAGCCACATGTAATCTCATGATTTTCGAAAAATGTATAATTATAATTTTATGCAAATAAAATTAAATAGTAGACTGATTTAACACTATTTATTGTCCCCCAATTACTGTGGCATTTTGTATCTACAAACAGAATATTTACTTATCAATATGTATTAGTATATCATTATCATTACATTTAATATCATCATTTAATATCTATTAATTTATATATTTTATATTATCGATGTATTTATTATATTTATATTAATATTAATAAATTTAATTGTAATCAATTAAAAATCACTCTGTATTAATAATAACAATTTCATGTTAATAAAATTATCCTTCCTTTGGCTGTAGAATCAGATGTATATTTTTCTATCCTGCCAAACATTTCAAAAAATGATTGTCTATTTGATTCTTTATAAGATTCCATAAGTTTATCATTTATTTTTAAGAAACCTTGGCAGATTCTCTTTTCAGTTATATGCTATTTACACGTGTACAATATGAAATATTTATTTTGAGTGAAAATGTACTTCTACTACGGCTTTCAGAATGATCTTTAAACGATCGTTGGCTGAAATCCATTGCCAGATCACGACTGGCAGAAGAATCATCAGTAGCAATGCATCCAAAACGTGCCACACGATTAATGATATTGAATAGAGAACTATCGATCTTCTTTGAGATTTTTGCCTAAAATTGCATACATACGTTATTATTGTCATTATTATTATCATCATCATTATCATATTATTATTATTATTATTTATATAAAACCTGTTTTCTGATTTTTCTTCCTTTCCTTGGTTTTCTTTAATTTCGTTGTTGAAATTACTGCCTCTGTTGTCTGTTTGATTTTCAACGATCAGAGTCATAGCTTTTCTTGCGTCGCACATGTTAAACAATATCGAGATGAACGAAATGTAAAAATGGTACCTCGAGAGAGATAATTGTTTCTAGGTAAAAGGCATTCAATGTCGACAAACTTGTGACCAGTGCACTCCATTCTAAATTTGTCAAATCAAACAAATCGGACGATGGAGAATCGAGCGAACGGGGGACATTGCTATTTCTCATATGTTTTTTTTTTTTTTTGTTTAGTTTTTATTCACAAGGTGACCAAAACAAATTGTCATAAAATACCAGTTAACTTTCTAACGAAAGTATACCTACACTAAGCCGCTAAATTTTAGATAATTACATCGACTATAATTAGACTTAGTACTATAATTAGGCATAGTAGCTAATAACATAATAACAGTTTCTCGTTGGTCGAAAATTAAATTGAAATCATTTCTTTGTAAAAGTTAGCACGCACAGTGAGTACAACGAAACAGCAAATTTCAAATAATTCTTAATTATAATTCCATTTTACATATTCATCGATCAATCATCATCTAATTGCTATGAACAAATGTAAGATACATATTCAAATTTAATTTAATTATCCTGTATCAATATGTAACAAAGTATCAAAATCTCTAATTACGTCATTACATTCATTACTAACGAACTACACGTTCTATCATCATTAATTGTAATACTATTTGGTACTTTGTAATGTTCTTTGCCTGCCATTTGTCGCGCTTCCGATCATTGTAAAAACTTACTTCCCAGTTACCAGTCTTTGAAAACCGCTTTCTTATTTTATGGCACAATGTGACGCTGACTCAATCGGTTAATTATTATGGTAATTAGGCGACTTCAAGGATCCGCAATGCAAATACGCTTCACCGATTTCTCGTTTACATATTCTTTCGTGAAACAGTCGTCCCTATGATTGAAAAAAAA